TGAATCTGCCAAGTGCAACTTCTACGGGGAGAGAACTACAACGCAGCTTAGCCAGAGCACTGCGGTGGGATCTGGGAATTAACTGTGTAACGTACGGTTCAGCCACCAGAGAACTTTTGAAAAGTCTATACGTTCGTAGTTTATTTCCATTCAACTGTCCACGATCATTCCACAATTCTCTAAACCATTCTTGTTCATCAAGAGATTGAATCCACTCACAGGATAACTTAACATCAAGCCCTGTCATGTTATAGATGTCATCAACTGGATGCTGTAATTTAGAAAGTAAAATATAGACAGAATTAACCCAAGATCCGTTAAACTGTCGAGGCCACTGCATAATGAAACTTGACTATCTAGAGTCTGCCATACAATTCAGTTTACGCCCAAACCTAAGTATTTCTATTTTTTGCTTACAGAAAGCACTGCTCCACCCCCATCTCTCCTCTAACTGCTAAATTAGGTGTTTTACATCCGGCTCCCAGGAAAAATCTGCAGGCATGGTTTTGAACTGCGTTAATGCAACTAAACTGTTTTGTGCCCTATATGGCAGCGCCATAGGTCAATATAGGTTGAACTATAATATTATAAACATTGTAAGCCATGCCACCTACTGACCTAAATTTGCAAATAATTCATCCAAGAGCACGATTGGCCGATTTTGCTATCTCTTTAGCTGTAAAGTATAAAACCAGATTTTCCTGCAGCCAAATTCCAAGATACTTATGACAGAGTTATATTCCAAAACATTACAACCAATATTGAATGTAAAACCTGACCTGGAAACAGAAGAGGGACGATTATGAACGACTTTAGTTTTTTGAATATTCACCAACATACGCCACCTGGAGCACCATTAGAAAAGATGATGTATTAATTCTTTTGTCAACCTGTTTTCTCACTCTCACGTCAGTCAGTACACAGGGAGTAGCGGGGTGATTATATAACTTGACCTGACTCATGGTGACTCGTGATACAAATTTAAATCAATTAAATTTAAAACATTTAAACTATAGATGACAATACGATATAAAAACAGGATAGAGATTGTCAACAACTGAAGGTAGTTCACCACATTGGGAACCATGGCAGAACTACAAGAACAAAAGTTGGAATTAGTTAAAACAGACAGTTCTTTATTCACATGGTTTGCTCATCGTAACTATCGAAACAAACTATCAATCCTCAATGGTTAAACCGATATTAATATCGAAACTGAAAAAAACCCTATCAATCAATGTTTAAAAGCTTATCCTCAATGAAGTAAATCTCTATTATTTAGAATAAATTAATCTTATAATCTCCTTTGATCTTTGTGCAACTATGTTGGCCGTTTTCTCTAGACACAGAGGCCGTTCTCTCTAGCGCGGTGGCCATTTTCTCGATTATTTTGGGGTCCGTTTTCGCTTTGGTCCGTTTTCTCCGTATCTCATAGGATAACATTAAAGAGAAGACACATGTGCCACAGTGAGCAATACTAAACCTAGCTGAGTTTAAAGGTCAACCGGGGACAGTTACACGTGTAGATTTCAGGTTTCTAATTCTCAGAAAGCTTTTCTGCAGAAACTCGAGAAAAATGGCAGAATGTTTATAATAAGAATGTTAAAATATTCAACTGAATGAGTGGACTGATGTTTACACAGGTATAAATTGATAACCTCAGATACCCTTGGAAAGAGCCTGCAGCTTATTGTATCCTTATGGCGACTTATTTAATTCCAGCAGATTGTGAATGACTATGACCTGTCAATGTAAGCGTAATATTAACAAAATTAGTTGTCCTCCTTAAGTTAAAATTAAAACCCTGAATTTACTTTGAAGTTGATGATATCATGGGGATGAGGGATGTCGGGGTGTGAGGTATTTGTATGTTGATGGATCATTTCTTCAAAAGAATCAGCAACAACAATCAATCTTAAATAATTTGCTCATAATGCAACTTTACAGTCATTAGATTATTTATGAAATGTAAAACTATAATCCCAATGGGCATCAACATGTTTGGAAGTGTACCTACACGTTTAGCATTTTTAGTCATTTCAAAAGCTTATTTGTTTGTATCAAATACTTACATCCAAATACTCTCTGTAAAGCCATTGCTAATTTGAAACCCGATATCATGTCAATGCAGTGCCTTGAAGAAGTAACAAGTAATCAACCTTCACAGCAAACGTGTGTGTCTGTGGAAGAGTGGACCTCCACGCCATGTGTTACCAATTACCTCGTGGATGCTGCACGTTAGCAAGCCATTGGTGGTAATATAACTGACCCCACCCCCCACTGTACATTGTTTTACACGTGGAACATTGATGCACCAGGTACAACACTGCCACATAACAATCTGCATCTACGTACAGCTGAAAATATCATTCAGATCACTACATCCAAAAACTATGCTGTGGTTTAGTCCCTACTTATCAGCCTGGCTATTTCCCGCATTGAACGAAAAACAATTGGACAAAGACTAGCACAGAAGCCAGATCTTTAATAATACCATTTACAGAGAGAATATTGCAACACACAGAGCGATTTCTCGCTATTTACTTTGTCTTATGTTTTGCAGTATATTAAGCATAACATAAGTGATATTAAAAATTACTATAATCTCAGTCAAATATAGCATTCAAGCGTAAAAACTCAATATTGAAATAATAATCCATATTTTTTCATAGGCTTTTCTTTCTTTTGAATCTGTTAAAATCAAGTGGTTAGCCGCTTTAGGTAATAAATGAACATTATCATAAAAATGAGTGCTGTAACGATGCATCAAACTATCGATTGATTGCAATTGTTGAGTCTCCGATAGCAATTAATCGACGGCAGAAACGAAAAACTATAGATGCATCGATAGTATGTGTGACTATCGATAGCTTAGTAATTGACTTTCGTTGATAAATGCACAGCGCAAAATACAGGAAGTACCAAATTCGTTCACTTTTTTTTAGAGTTATCTGTTTCTCATTAAACAAACATGGCGGCAAACACGGCATGCGACTCGGAGTTTGAAATAATGCAAGGGGGGCTGCACACTTCATTTTCATGAGAGTTTCAATGGTCATTCAATACACTTTCAGGACAAAAGGGGTGGGTGTGGGGTGGTTGTGGGTGGGGTGCAGTATAGTTGGTCGTAGTAGACTATCGGTATCGCAATAGTATGTTGCAATAGACTAGCGCTATCGCAATAGGTGTTTCCCCCTCAATAGTCACCCCTAATACAAATTGTGTCTGATAGGAGCGAAATCAGCAGATTCAAGCAAAATGTGCCCGACAGTTATTTGACCATTGCCAGGGATGTGAAAGGTGCATCTTCACCTTAAAAATGAATGTGTTTACTGATTGTGTCCAATGCAGCACCGCTGCATCACAACGCCATCATGGTGAGAACGACAAGGTTAGGTTTGACCTCCAATCTATGGCTTGATGACATGGAGCATATTCGAAATGACTGGTATTTCAGCTTTTCCGCCAGTGATCGTCCTCATGTGTGATAGAGGTTCGCAGATCAGAATACGGGAAGTTTGTGCGTAAGGTGGACACACGATGCCATAACATTCATATACATTTACACAGGCTTGTTCTCCATATTATCAAAAAGTCATTTCCTTTCGCATGTCTGATTGACAGACTTGATGGTGATTGATATGTGAATATGCCTACCGACACGATCGTGTGTCACCTCGCGGATATCCATGATTTAACTGACGAAACTAATTACGATACTTGGACATACAACAAATTAAACTTGTTACTCCATGTGGCATCTAAAGAAACAGCTCGTGTATATCTACTAGAAAAAATGCTCAATACTGCTTCAAATTGTACTCTGACAATTTAATAAGCTTGTATCTCATGCTTTCACTATAGGTAATAAAATATGCAAAAGTACTAAATTATATATCGTAAATTATGCATTTGCCCGCGTATGATCCTACGGAGGAAAATATGAAAGTTATTCACTGATTCACTTTATTCCACTCAGATTGGATATGTTGCTCTCATCTGGAACAACTTTAAGTTTGCACAATGGAAATGTTTGACTTCAGATTAAAGCAAGGGCTTGCTCAAAACATGTTTGATCAGGATTACTACATTCTGTGATTCCATAAAACTTTCAAAAGTCTTAATTCCAGACATGTGGATGTCGTTTACATGATACGAAATCCATTGCATGCAGCTATATCATTAACATGTATTAATGATTCACTGTGAATGATGATAAGATGTGAGAGTATCAGGTTCCATTGGACGAACCCGCCAAAGTATATACAAAGACAGGTCGAGTATTATGCGAATAGGCAATTCCTTTTAGAAAGTCGCAAAATGTAGCACAGGCTGCATCCGGCATTGCACTTTCTCGGTAAAGTACGTAGAATCCGTACTTTGCAACTTGAATATGTACCATATGTTATAAGTTTAGTCCTCGATGGAATCATCACATGTCGACGTTAAAACGTTGTAAAGGCTTGTATGCTGATCCTTGAAATCACATTCTCAATTGTACCTCGGCTGCAGGAATATTGCTCGATATCAGTGGATGGTTGATTACTGGAACGTTCAGATCATCTCTCTTGTCACAGTCTTACACAGAGTTTTTTCTACACTCGGAATCTTTACGCAAAAATCTAAATCTTTTATTTCGAACTCCAGTGGGTGAATCAGCGAAACTGAACTGGACATTTCTACGAATCAAGCAAAAGTGGCATCAATGCGCTCCCTTGTACGCAAAACTGGCGTATGATGACGCTATCATATCATACGTACTGATACCTCGAACGCTTTGTCTGGTCCCGACCTCATTACTGTACAATATATTTGCTAGCTTATCTCGAATTCGAGACAACGCTATCTCGAGCCTTGGACTCGGTCCCAAATGGAGGAGTACGTATCTGAAATGTTTACGAGGAGGTACGTATCTGAAGTGTATACGAGGAGGTGCGTATCTGAAATGTTTACGAGGAGGTACGTATCTGAAATGTATCCATCAGAATGTATCTGCAGAATTACATGGCCACCAAAAAGATCGAACAAGAGAGTATCAGGTTATCTCCATAAGCAGGCGTCCAGAACATCTCCCAAGGTAATCCAGCTCTCTTCTTGTCTGGAGTCTCTGACCAAACCCCATTGGGATTACAGGGGGTGCATCTCTTGAACCAGAACCCAGACTTGTGTTCTTCAGCACAGTTCAAAGGACTGTCATCATTATCTCTATCGAAGGTAGAGAAGGGCTGCCCTTTCAATGCGCCCAAACAATCACCCCCATGATGTGAAGGGTCCGAGTGTCCCCAAGTCAACACAAATGTCATTTGATAATCATTGTTCCTGTTTAGTTTGAATTCAGTGTATATCTGCTGTCTGAACTTAAGAGTGAAAACATCTATGTAGTTAAAGAAAAGTTTGTGATCACGTCCATTTACAATGTGGGAGATTTTGTCGTTTCCGAGCCAGAAGTCATAACGTGGATCGCCGAATCCATCTTTGTAATCTTGCCACGTACGGTAGAAACTTGTGGAGTTACGCTCATGTCTCTGTATATATGTATTACCGCCATGCGCCATCCTGCACCAGACTTGAAAGGGTTCCGGAGACAACACAGGGTGAACTAGAAACAGACCATCTTCTCCGTCATAGTGACCGCTGGTAAAACCCTCAGAGCAATCTGAAAAGATATATTGACCTATTTTCCTGAATTGTCAAACATACATCGTCTCGGACATGTCTTGGTTGTGTTCCTCCGATTGGTGGAGGCCTTTTTGTTACAGAATACTGACTTTGACACTTTGAAGATATTTTCTGCAATAGGTGTCTGAGATATGAAACGCTATACCTTCTATCCAAAGAGTGTCGCATGTATTACCGACGTGTTGGGTCTCCTCTGAAGGGAGACTCTTTAATCGAATACGCGGACAGTCGGACCGAAATGCTGCAATGCTTCGAACAATGAGATCTAATTTTAAGCCGACAATATATTGCGTTGAGGACAAGCAGGGTCGGTTGTTGAGAGTCATTAGATATAACATCATGTCATTGAAAACGACTACTATGAATCCTCACAAATGAGTATTATACTTGCTGTATTTGACGAGGAACCTTAAGAACAGTTAACTAAACTTTATATGTGCTTAAAGACGAGTACTCATATTGCACGTGAAACTTGCCCTTGATCGCAAAGCGTGCATATGAAAAAGCAACGATTTCAAATATTTCAGAGGAAATTATGAATCTCCGTCAAACATCGACTCTGCAGATCAATAGAGACAGACATTCTCAAACAATCACTGCCTGTTGATTGATTTCGTTTTCGATCATACAAAACACATCTGCCGTTCATATTCATCGCCATCGATAATCAGCCTCGATTATTGCTGTCACAGATTCGGCTTGAAGTTAGAGGCAAACTAAAAGTGAACACTGTGTGTTCTCCGTAAACAACTCACCGATCATTAGTCGCTCACAGTCGTCACCGACGTATCCACCGTAACACTTACACTTCCGTGTTGCCACGCCAGTGTAGCCCTCATTCTTGCAGCGTTTATGAATCTTGAATAGAAGAATCATATTACCTGCTAAAAGAATTTGATCAGGTAATATAAATGCAGCAGAACAGATATCCCTTCCAATGTCATCACATATTATTGAGCATGAAAGATGTGTGCCCGATGTGTATTATTGCTGTTGGTGATACTGACCATTGTATACATACAATAAGTGAACGCATTCAGGGGTGAGCTTATCACAACTGACATTCTTTACTCGAAAGTAATTCTTTACTATGTTATAAATCCCATAAAGATTTATTATGTTGAGATAAATATGTCAAATATTTAATCTCATTAACATAGACAAATCTTAACTGTGCCAATTGAGCATTGTCGCGGTTTGAATACTATTTTTTCTATTCATCCAAAGGACGACAATGCGACATAGCGACAAGTTTCAAGGTCAAAATATGTCGCGTTGTTGCTCCATCTAAGACGGGTAAAAAAGCCTTAAAATGTGCGACAACGCGATATAATGTAGCATTGTCGCGTTGTCGCCCTTTTCGAGTACTCGTGCGTATTTGTAGAAAGTCAATTAGTCTACGCATGCGCAGAAAGTTATACTCTATTTCAGACTTCAGGGGACTTTTGTTTCCTCCAATGGTTATAAAAAATAAGTAGTATATGCTATGGGGGGCTGCTTTTCTTGAACTTGATGCAAATTTTTCATTGTTGCTTTATATTTCAGTTTTTTTCACAGCCTGTCAGCTTGATATTGGAGAAATGTCCAAAGTGCCTACAATGAGAGGGCCACCTTGTGCAGTACTTACAATGCATAGAAGCGCAAAGAATTTGTCTTGCGACATATTCATTATGTCGCGTTGTCGCATTGTCGGGTGTCGCGCATTTTACTGACTGACTGAGTTTAGTAATATCACGGCGGGGGACACCAGAAATGGGCTTAACACATTGTGCCCATGTGGGGAATCGAACCCAGGTCTTCGGCGTGACGAGCCAACGCTTTAACCGCTAGGCTACCCCACCGCCCCTCTCGCGCATTTTAAGGCTTTTTTTACACATCTTAGATGGGTGACAATGCGACAATGCAACATATGAAAATTGTCGCTCTGTCGCGTTGTCGCCCTTTGGATGATCATTCAAAACGCGACAGTGCGACAAATGGCCGAAATGTCGCGTTGTCGCATTGTCGCGCTTCGGTTAATTTTGCCTCTTGATTTTGAGAGGTCAACAACACGACAGTGTCCCTTCAAGGATTCCATAGTTTTTGGGTGTGTTAAAGAAACCCAAAAGAACCAACAAAGTAACTCTGTAACATAAAGGTATATTATCATTTGTTCTGTGGTTCATGCGGTCTTTTCTACAAAACATGTTGTATCTAAGTCAAGACAGATAACAGCAACCTATGTTGATGAGATACTATATACGCTGTATATTCATCGCAATTATTTAGCGCCTATAATGCATGTACAATTGTTTATCATGGGAAGATAGTGTAATTTCAGTCTCCAGAATTACCTCGTAGGTTTTCCAAGATTTGCAATGGTATTCTACCAACATTGTTGTGTCTCAAACGCTGGTGTAGCTTCCCACTTACATTATAATGTTTCCAGCCTCCACTGTAGCATTCTCCAGTCTGGAACAACTCCTCGTGTGTCCGGCATAGAGGTCCAGAGACACTGTAAGCCACACAAGCCGGGTCTTCAGAACACATCCTGGCACATCCCGTCTTTGTACGTACCGTGTGCACTCCTCCACTGACTGGTGGTGCTTGAAAAGCTGAACATTGGGAATACTGAATAAAGGCAGCAATCCCGCTTGATGGGTCCCCTAAAATACTTTGAAAATCTAAAACCAAAAGCTTCACAACGATAAAAGCCAACACTGAAGTAGACATGCTGGACGTGTGGACGCTGCCCTGTACGTGTCTAATACAGCGCAAAAGTCATTAACTGTTTCCGATGTGATTTCAGGGAACATCATCAATATTCCAAACTTGAAATCAATGTGCTTGCACGTGACCTTTACTGTCTTCTGTCAATTCCAATCGATTTGTTTCTGCATTAGTGGCCTATAGATATGTTTCGAAACTCAGTGAATAGTCGTGCATGACTTTCAAGTGCTGGCAAACATAGAGAAAATCTCAGAACTCAGGAACAATTATTTCCAGTAGGAGTGTCATTGATTCAACTCTGCCCCAGTCTGTTGCGACGATACTAAACTACACTGTCTAATATTTGCTCAGGTGAAGGAGGTGGAAAGGTACTGTTGTGATGATTTGCTTCATCGTAAACAGTTATTATATACATGTACAGTTATGTGTGTGAGTTAATGAGTATGGTTTTACCTTGCTTTTTCCAGCAATATCCCGGCGGTGGATACCTGAAATAGGCTTCACATAAATGTACCCATATGGGGAATCGAACCCGGGTCTTTAGCGTGACGATCGGACGCTTTAACCACTAGGCTACCCCACTGCTCCGTTAAATGTTTGTGTCTGTGTCTGTGTGTGAGAGTAATTGTGGAGTGCGTGCGTGTACAAGTGAGTACGTGCGCGCGCGTACATCTTTGATTCTAAATGATAGGTTGGAGACGCCAATACGTTAGCAGTGAACATAAAAACATAAATGTCAGCAGGTGAGCTGAGTAAACCTGATTTGATTTCCTGTTTTGTATCACCAGTTTAATGGGGTCCAGAACATTCCTTCAGGAATACTACTTTCTCAATCATCTATATTCCTTAACAAGACACCGAAGGGGTCACATGGTGTCTACAACTTGATCATAAAGCCATACTTGACCTGTTAAAATATCACAATATGGACGAATATAAAAAAGGACATATTTTATCTGACCCCCGACACCCCATCCTACACCCGATCTGGAAGGGGCGGGTAGATAGAGTTGGAGTCCCTTCACTTAGTTTCATGTAAACAGTTTCCATATACAGTTGAGCACCGTTGTCTCGATATTCATGGGACCAAGAAAAAATATCGAGTTATCCGAACTTCGAGACATCCGACCAGGGCATATCATCACACATCACTATGAAAGAAAACACAACAAAAAGTAGATTTCATGTCTGTTTATTCCATGTACATATATTTACTTACTCACGGGGATCGCAGCTTATGCTAAGTGTCCATCTTGAATTATACAAAGGTTGGATTTATTCAACGGACGAAACGAAGAATTCTGAAAGTTTAGATTGACGGGCATTTGGTAGTGGCATGAAAGCGATAGTAGCTAACCACTCTCGATACAACACAATAGCTTTCAAATTGACTCCTAATCCATATTTCTCAGTCCGCAATTTAGAAACAACTCAACAATCACATGCTAGTCACGTGTTTGCACAAAACCCTCATTGGATTCTCAGCATGTTTTGATTTAAAACTATCATCCGTTATCAGTAGTGTTTGGTCGTAACAGTGAGTACTTCCTAATCAATTCCTTCTTAGTTAATCCTCATTAAATAAAAAACAACTGACACCTTCAACTCAATTAGCCCTAATTAGTTTAAAGTACCGCATCCCTTTGATTCATGCCGCACCGTGTGTAAACGTGTGGAGACCTCAGTTCAGAGGGATACTTGCCTATGAAAGGTAGGTGAATATCGCGTTTCTTGCAAATATCGAGTTAAAAGAGTAATTTTGCTTGTTGGGACCATGAAATTATATCGAGATATCCGAAATATCGAGACATCCGTATCGAGTTAAAAGAGCTTGAATAATGATAAATAATGAAGGATTTTGCCGGGACCGAGATGGTATATCGAGATAACCGAGATATCGAGTTATCAGAGTTCGACACAACGGTGCTCGACTGTACTTCACATGTAACCACATGCAAAACATACTCACCGACGTTCTATATTTAGCTCAACTGGGTCGATGTTTCTGCCCGTGGAGTGAAGTCCTCGAGGTTCATCCTAAGCTCAGTAGCATATTTATGTGCCGAGTCGACTACAAAAGAAACGTCTGGCCCGAGACATTAAAACTGACCCCTAATCTGTTTAAAAAACGTCTATTTCCCATTAACTCATTTGATAACTGAGGTCATTTAGAAACAGTATATGATAACACCCGCACCTGCAAAGGTTCATATCTCTAAGGTGTAGAGTGTTGTGGCGCACACATCAAATTGATTACGAGAATATTTTGTACATGACACTTTGACAACAGTTGTGTACATGCCACTGTCATTAATGTCAGTAATCACACCAATCAAGTTGCAGGGATCAGCTCTACCTCTGTCCACGGATGGGATGGGAACTGTTACGTTGTCACCAACTTGAACTTCAGAGAGAACAACTTCACTTCTTTTCACCATTTTCTCGGCTTGTTGCAACTGAGAGTCTATTGCCCTCTTCCTCTGGATACTGATCTGCTGACGTCTCTTTGCAACAAGGAGTTCTGCTGATGATGGCGGATCTGGAACGGCGGCTACAGCTGGTGGATCTATAACGGCTGCTACAGCAGGTGGATCTGGTACCGGCATATCTGCTACAACAGGTGGATCTGGCATATCTGTTACAACAGGTGGAGCTGGATCTGGCATATCTGCTACAACAGGTGGATCGGGATCTGGCATGGCTGCTTCTTCTGAGGGATCTGGAACAGCTGCAGTAACTGGTGGCGCATCTGGTGCTGCTGGCTGGTCTGAAGGAGGTGTCATGGCGATGATGGCATTGATGAGATCTTGGAGATCTTCTTCCGTCTTCAGTGTTGCAATGACATCATCTGGGAGCTTGGAGGAATTTAGCCCAGTTGGTGCATCTGATTCTGTAAAGGCAGCAAATGGTGTTTGCTTGATTCCGCTGTGGTAGCTGGAACTGAGCAAACTTGAGTCCCATGGTCCAATCAGTGGTATTGTTGTCAGACATCCAGGCTGTTAACATGTCCTTCACATCACATTTGGCCAGCTCAACGGAACCTTGGGATTGGGGGTGGCGTGGTTTACCATGTATTATCTTGATGCTAGGACACATCTGTGACACCTCCTCAATGACAGCAGCAGTAAACTCTGAATCATTATCACTCTGCAAGATGGCTGGTGCACCAATGAACAGGAAGACGCCGACCAATTGATACGCTACTTCTTGGAGGCCAACGGTCTCAGCACACAGAACTTAGTGAGATGGTCCTGATAATGCATAATCTATTTGAATTGACCTTGACACATGGATTGCATGTCAGAAATCGCCTCGTGAACCAAAGTCCTTGAGGATGATTGGGCGAACAACAACGCTCTTGGTAGTGTCCTTTTCCTTTTCTGTTGGCTTTGGAAGCTGGAAGACTTGAAGAAAATCAGGGATTGTTGGCATACTTCTTGGTAGCTTTTTAAAGCATATTGTCTCTACCACCATGCCCTGTTGCAATATGTGCCAAAAGTGTCTTCAATGGAGACTAAAACATACAGGATCGTCATCTTCTTCTTTATTCTTAATCAACTTCTTCACACCACCGCATTGAAGGACTGCATACTTCTTGGGCAGATAATACTGATGGAGGACTTCTTTGTTGACAATTCAGCTTCCAGTAATTCATTTATGATCTTTTGATATCCATCTCTTGGAATTAATACTCGCTTGTTGGTGTACAATTCATACAGGAAACGCAACTCTATCTCAACCTCCATTTTGGATATGAACCTTTGCAGGTGCGGGGGTTATTATATACTGTTTCTAAATGAGCTCAGTTCTAAAATGAGTCAATCTCAAATTTGCTCATGAGCAAAGTCCATAGTTGGCCTTGTAGAATGGATAAACGTCTTACAATCACACTCCATAATCAGTGAGGAGGAATGTTTAATACAATTACCAGAATTACAAAACAAAACAAACAAACAGATTTCCTCCTTGCTTAATTCCCCTTTGATCTCAGATAGCTATTGATGCATTATTGCCCTCAATAAAAGTGTGTTTCAAATTATTGACTTTGTTGGTTTTTCTTCGATCTTCAACGAGAGCTCATGCATACAAGCAGCAAGCAGGGAAGAGCTTCAGGACCGTTCGACTTTCTCCGAGGGTGCACGGCAACGTCAAGGATAGATATGTTTGACAGATGATGGTGCCAAGAGTATAGTTACAAGGACGCAGATGTTCCGAATTCCAAATGTGTAAAAGAAATGCATAATAAGAGTTGAAATACCGAATGTCGAATCTGCAAAAATACCGAATATGAAAAAATTCAGATTCGGGATTCAAATCCCGAAACCCGAATGTATACAAAAACTCAGATTTGAGGTTCAAATATCGAATACTGTAGTTTGGTTGTTTATGTTTTTAAGTTACCCAGGTATGCAATGAGCCCCTAGTGCATTAGAAGGGGGATGAAATATAAGAGTTCAAATACCGAATGCCGAGTGTCGAATCTGCAAAAATACCGAATATGAAAAATAAAATCAGATTCGGGATTCGAATCCCGAATGTAAACAAAATATTCAGATCCGGGATTCGAATCCAGAATATGCAAAAAGTATTTAGATTCGGGATTCAAATCCCAAAACCCGAATGCTTAAAACAACTCAGATTTGAGGTTCAAATATCGAAAACTGTAGTTTGGTTGTTTATGTATTTCAGTTACTCAGGTATACAACGAGCACCTAGTACATTAGAAGGGGGATGAAATAATGAATATTGACATTGTTCGTCTTTCTTCGATCGTCATCGAGGGTCGACGCCTGCAAGCAGGGAAGAGCTTCAGGACCATTCACTATCTCCGAGGGTGCACTTCAACGTCGACCATACATAAGTTTGACAGATGAAGGTGCAAAGGGTTTAGTTACAAGGACGCTGAAGTTCCGAATTCCAAATGTATAAAGGAAGTGCATAATAAGAGTTCAAATACCGAATACCGAATGCCGAGTGTCAAATCTGCCAAAATACCGAATTTGAAAAAAATTAGATTCGGGATTCGAATCTCGAATGTGAACAAAACATTCAGATTCGGGATTCGAATCCCAATCCCAATCCCCAATCCGTTTCTAACTTCATGTTGCCGTTGAAAAGTTTGTTCTCAAGCCGCCGCCGTAGCATGAGTACTACCGTGAAGCGTCAAGCAAACAATACTTCCATATTTAGGCACATTTTATTATGGCTGGTGCTTCCGGCAGGAAAGGACATGCTTACCCTTTTCCCGAACACCTGGTGTCATCACTGATTTTCAAATTGCGATGATATCAGATGTTAGACAAAAAGGTAGGGGTATACTGCATTCCCTTGTGTGCCCCGTCGAGATATTGCTGGAATATTGCTACAGCGACGTAAAGGGGTAAGCATGTGCTGTCCTACCAGTAGAGTAACACACTGACACGTTTCATTGTAAATGTCTCGTGCACATCATGAAAACGCTTGCACGAAATTGGCGTGTATGCACGAAATTCAAAACACGCGAATGGAATCATCATTTTCTAAATCAATATGCAATCAATACAATTGATATTCATTTCCCTGGAAAACATTTTGTCTGTTTGGCAATTTTGCGGATCAGAATATTAGAGAAACCATAAAAAGGCACATTATAAAGTAATCCTTTTTTCATACCAGCCACGACTATTTAAGTGTGAGTGAAGTAAATTCGTCGCCAACTTTCTACACAGAGGCCAACCTGCCTGGAATATGGTATTCTTAAAGAACTTCATGATAACTATGTTTCTCTAACACGACAGGCATACGTGTGAAGATGAACTGATATTGGTGTGCAGAAATGAGGAAAAAAGCTCGCAATCACATGAGACCTTCTCTGTAAAATGTTGCAAAATTTGACACAAAAGACATTCGTCACGGATCCCAAATCAAAAGTGAAGAGGCTACGCTCATTCCTCTGAAAAATGCATCAGATGTATATCTGCTGTACAGTTTCATAATTGGGTCTTTGTCTGCAAATGTCATATATTCACAGGTCAAAACACAAACCTAGATCCGATATGGATATCGCCTTTCTGGATACAACTAGGAGTTACACAGAGAAGGAAAACGATACATTGTCATGTTCCCTCAGAACACTAATGTGTATGCACGAGTTTTGATAAAGTTAATGAGAAAAATGTGACAAAGATATGTGTCAGATGATCGATTTTCTTGGAGACAGATACAAGTAAATTGCATATCTGAAAATCCTAGCTCACGAAAATCAATCCTGGGAAGCTGGTATAAATCATGATATATCTATGCTAGAGATGATGTGAATCGAAAAAGCAATAAAGTTAAAATTTTACATTGGATTATTGATTGAACAATAATGCCTACTGACAAGAGAACATGTGCTATTGATGGGGAGATCGATAATATAAACACAAACACGCTTCTGTACTCTTAAGCGGGAAAAAGTTCAAGCTACGATGACTTACACACAACATCAGGAAAAAGAATTACAACACAAGTGACGGTTTATTGTGAAGCAGTCATTATTCATACAGTCCACCAAGCGTGACGGCGACTCGTGAAGTGGGGTGCATCACTCAAAACAGAAGTCAACGAAAAACAGTGGAAAACAATGACCTGACTACCAACATTACACCTCGAGTGAAGACACAGATACAAGGACGGTCACATTTAATGTGTCAAAAAGCATTCTCGTTGCCTCACGCGTTCGGAAAAGAGGCTTGTCCTGTCTTACGTTGAGGCGGAATAACCTTTTGATATTGTACAACTTTCAATCAACGACTTCATCTGCACGGGGAGTACAATTGGCTACGTGAAGGGCGAAACCCGACGTACACTATCTGTCTAATGTACACAATGTGCAAAACCAGCACTATCGGATGCAACTGTCTGCAAAATGCATTGCAGGGTATCGGTACCAAACGGTCCATTGAATTCAAATGATAGATTTGTAGCTGAAAATGAGAATTCTCTTCATCATGCTTCGGACTTCAACCTGCTACTTTTTGTGAATGGAACTCATGAACTATGGGCTGGACTAAGCACTGGCACAATTCATCATTCGTTGACGGAATTCACAACGATTTTTGATATTTACTGACAGTGTAGCAGTGACTCCACAACTCGTCACAGGTATCCCGCGGCGACTCCACAACTCGTAACGGGTATCCCGCGGCGACTCCACAACTCGTCACGGGTATCCCGCGGCGACTCCACAACTCGTCACGGGTATCCCGCGGCGACTCCAAAACTCGTCACGGGTATCCCGCGGCGACTCCACAACTCGTCACGGGTATCCCGCGGCGACTCCACAACTCGTCACAGGTATCCCGCGGCGACTCCACAACTCGTAACAGGTATCCCGCGGCGACTCCACAACTCGTCACGGGTATCTTCTACACATGTTTTGACAGTGTTTATCTTGACCAACTCCATTATGTGATGAGCCTGTATGATGCATATTCACAAATTGGTCTAACCATACTCACTAGAGATAATACAGATATTCGGTCTCGCTGTCTTCAGAGAGTACTAGACGTACGCTGCCTATACTAGTATATAATGACTGTGTACACACCATCAGTATCGTCATATCAAACAAATGTGTCGGACCACCTGCCACTCATGTATTTGTTAAAACAAAGGCGATGGGGTAGACTTGAAACTTGTTCCCTGTACTGGTGAGACGTGACACACCTAAATCCTATTTTCTTCATGTTAGTTAACGTGTGCACTCCACAATTACTCCACAGGCACAGACACACACATTTAACGGAGCGATGGGGTAGCCTTATAGTAGTTAAAGTGTCCGCTCGTCACGCCGAAGACCCTAGTTCGATTTCCCACATGGGTATAATGTGTGAAGCCCATTTCTGGTGTCCCCCGCCATGACATTTCTGGAATATTGCTAGAAGCGGCGTAAAACCAAACTCAATCGGCTGTTAAAACAAGGGTGTCTTATGGTGGGCTTGAGCTCAGTTGGAGATTTTTTTACCTAAAGTTACGAAACTGAAAATTACTCTGGTAACAAGATAAATGACCTCACTCGTACATCATAATGTGCAGTCATCACATAACTGATTTTCTGCATGCATGTGTGTGAATAGGCATTCCATTTTCTATTTCTGAAACTGTATTGGAATAGAAGCGACAGACCCTTTCAACATCCATAAGAAATCTTTGCTTAAAGCAGAGTCGTTGCTAAAACATAAAAAAGAATATACGTGTTGATAACCACGTATATCCTATATTATTCATAATCTTCATTTTGAAAAGAAATAACTCAGTAAAGCTCATTAGCGATTTCTTTCAGCTTCTTCGTGGGGAACTGTCCACATAAACATTCCTTTAATTCTATTGGAGTAGCACCTAACCTTGTAATTCTCGCAATGTCAGTGAAAAGCTAGTTTAGGTGGTTCAAGAGCGAATATCCATAATCATTTTTTCTTTTTATTCTCGGAAAACAAGACATGTACAATGATGCATATATACAAGTATAACAGCGGACACATCCATAATCCGAGTTCGCGCCCTGATCTTACTGTTAGATATCTGGAGAGAGATAACCTTGCCTGTAGCACATTGATCATATGCAGCGGTTATTTGCAAATAAGCATTTTTCTTCATTAACTTGGTGTGGAAAGGGTATTGTCGCTTCTATTTAAAGTTACACTTTGATTTTAGCTATGTAATGGTTAGACAATAATTTTCTTAAAAATCACATAGGAATTTGGCGGGCTTCTCAATAATGTCCCTTTGTAGAAAGTACTATTCAGCTAGGGAAGGGGTAACTGGCCTTGGATCATATATTTTCAGGTCGTCAAACGCGCCGCGATGTGTTGTGCAGAGTTGCGTCCCTTTGACACGCTAAAGCTCGGATCCCTGTTATGAGAATGTGTTTTCGTTAATTAAGATGTCACAGGGATTAAATTTTCATTATTATGGGTCACAAAAATTTAAAGCGCTGAGTTTGATTGAACTCACATCTTGAACTTAGTATAGGCTATGTATTTTTACCTGTTGAGAGTAAGCTAGAGTTATCTCCTCTTTGCTGCTTCCGGTATGGGACTGTGGCGTTCATTCCAGTGAGTTCTACATGACCGTAGTGTGATATAAATGGACGTAGTGAGCCGTAGCTACTGCTAGAAGTCTCGAGAACTGTGTGATAGGTATATAAGGATATTTGCAGAGACAGGACTTTGAGGACTGCTTTAACTAAGATACATAGCGTTCACTGACATGAACTGTTCATGTTAGTGAACATTATGTATCTTAGCTAGGACTGCTTTGGATTTACGCTCATCTGTCTGCTGACATCGTCCGCTCCCTTCGTCTCAACTTCCGTCTTCAATGTTTAATCAGTACATCGACCAGACTCAAGACTGTTGTAACTATAGGCATTTAGTTACTATTTTAGATTTGTGACCCAATATTTTAGATTTGAGACTCAATAGTATTGTAATAGAAATCTGTACTGTCATTCATTGTAGCCTTGCTCATTGTTTTTTCAATATATTATTGAATATCATAAACGTGTCTGTGTTTTATTTTGCTGGTTGAAAGGGGACTCACAAACCTTTTGTCACGGCAATTTCATTTATTGGCACTGTATCCGTACCATAGTTTTACGCTAAACGTCTGAGACTTACATCTGCTTTTACCCCCACATTAAGCATACACACCTGATTCAACTGGGATACTTCAGAGCGGAATTAAACCTAATTCATTGTCTCAAAAGTAGCACGTAATATATCCTTTCGTTCCATGCTTTTCATATCCAATACTCGTTGACATGTTTGTTTAAAATACGAGTATTCCATTTATGTCATATTGGTATTGGTGTCGAACGCTCCATGTTTCTGCCAGGTTTGGATTACCTGTATAAGTTAGTGAGTAAGTATGGTTTTACGTCGCTTTTTGCGATACTCCAGCAATATCAAGGTCTGGAACACCAGGAATTGTCTTCACTCATTATACCCATGTGGAGACACCTCAGTTTCAGTGTGAGGATGAACACTATAACCACTGGCCTACCCTACCGCACCTGGGCTACATGTATGAAGTGAAGGGAAAACTTCCTAGAAGTGCATACGTTGGAGATCTCTGTCACAAAAGATCGATAAAGAATTTCTTTTATTATTATTCTTATGTTTCAAAATGTATTTATACAACTATATAAATGTATCTATTAAGTAAGTATCAGTCATTTGTTGGTAAAGTGTTTATGCATTCAATTCAAAGGCCACAGGCCCATAGGACGTACATTAACCGCATACACACATTTTGTTACACATCAATATATAAACGATAAATAAATTTCACAAGGTAGTACTGTAGAGTGCTCCGACCTTTTCCCGATTACCCACAATGCACCACCAGCCGCCATTTTGATAGGCAAATATGCCGACTACCTGTGCCGTTGTTAAGTGTCACAACCGGTCGGGTCGCGATAAGGTTAGCTTTTATCGTATCCCAATTGTCATCAAGGTCAAGGCGAAGCAACTGAAAGGAAAAGCGAGCGTTGTAGACGACTCTGGCTTGCTGCAATCAACCGGGCAGATGTCGATGAAAAAACATGCAACCAGCTTCGTGAGTGCTCTGATCATTTCATATCAGTTACTTGTTATACACACGTTTTTATATATTCAACAGACTTTTTACATATACAGAGTCGTGCAAAAAGTATTCGGACACTTGACGTCATTTCCATAGACTTACATGTTAATTTAGTGTAGCCTAAATATTTTTCATGAATTCAATTTTCGTAAGATCCAAGTCAAGTTTTGCACATTTGTGAGGAATCATCTCACCTACAATCACATAATTTCTGTTTAATTTTCCGTTGCTTATTGATCGAATGGCAACAATTTAATCAACATATGTACAGTAGATATATAATAATACCTCAATGAAATGTATATCAACCGTGTCTGTCCTACAAAGAAAGTTTGACACGGTTTTCACTCAGTAAACTGTGATGTTTTGATTTTATGTTTACATCGTAGTTACTTGTGAAATTGTCATAAGTTAACAAAGTTTATGTGTTATGTTGGGGTTTTTTCAAATGAGGTATCACATGCAAATAATTAAAGGTCTTTAATCTAACATCTATATCAAAACAATTTGAGTCTCAAGCGGAGGTAGATAGTCAAGCTGATTTTGTAACATTATTTTCGATTTTGAAACTTTAACATTATTTTCGATTTTGAAATTTTATCACTGCAACAAAATAATACGGGTAAATGTTAGTGTTTAACATTTGCGTATGATATTTCAGGTGCAAGAAACAAGTATGATGAAACAAACCCAGACTGGGTTCCGAACAAGAATCTGGGATATGATGTGAAATCTCCAACCAAGTCGGCGATCCGCCACGAGAGGTTACAAAACCGAAAACAGACAATTAAGATGAATGAAGCTGCAATGTCTCTTTTGGAACTAAGCGCCTCGTTTTCTGAACCTCCATGTGCAGACGAAGCTGATGGTGTTGGCAGTACAGAAGCAACCGATACTGAGTTAACAGATGCAGAAAAGCTTGAAATTGCAAATCAAAGAATTTCCGAGTTGGAATTTGAGAATGCAAGATTGAAAGAGCAGAATGAGTGATTGCAGAATATTGTACATAAAATGAAAGCCAATTTACCTGAGGATTTTGAAGATGACAATGATAAAGTGAAATATTACACAGGTTTACCACGTTTTACAATTCTGATGGAACTGTTCAACCTTCTAGCACCCGATATGCATGAAAATAGAAATAGCTCACTGAACAAATTCCAGAAAATAATTCTGACACTCACGAGACTGCGACTTAATTTACCAATTACAGATCTCAGCTATCGTTTTGGTGTTTCGCGAACCACAGTGTCAAAGGTTTTCTTAGATACATTGCACTTGATGCATGATACCATGGGGTCTCTAGTGCGTTGGCCAGACAGGGATGAACTTTACGAGACAATGCCAATGGTTTTTCGAAAACACTTTGGAAAGCAAGTTACCTGCATTATTGATTGCTTTGAAGTTTTTATTGATCGCCCCTCAAATCTGACAGCAAGAACACAAACTTGGTCCAGCTACAAGCACCACAATACTCCCAAATACTTAATTGGAATTACCCCACAAGGGTCTGTGAGTTATATTTCCAAAGGATAGGGTGGAAGAACCAGTGACAAGTTTGTGACTGCCCACTCAAACTTTCTTGACTATCTCAGCAATGGTGACATTATTCTAGCTGACAGAGGGTTTGACATTAAAGAATTAGTTGTTCTTATTGGCGCTGAAGTGAAATATCCTGCATTCATGAAGGGAAAACAGCAAATGTGTGGACCAGAGGTAGAAGGAACAAGGACAATTGCAAATGTTCGCATACATGTGTAAAGGCTGGATATTTTGTCCTAGTCCCTTGCACAAGTAACCCAATATCCTGCCCTTTACCAGTTATCTGATAGGGTTCTGGGGCTCAAGGCACTGGTGCCATGGGTTCCATAGCAACAGTTTTTTTTAGCCAATCCCCAGGGGCTATGTTGTCACATGACAGGGGCAAGAGGGAGCGTGGGACCCCCAAGCCTGAAATCTTCCTCTTTCTGCCTGCACTGTCGAGGTGACAACAAGCCAACTTGTTTTTTAGGTAAGAACCTCAGTTTGCTTCCATATTGCAACTAGGTCTTCTGTATTAAATTTCAATGCATAGTTATGTTGTTAGCAGGATAAGTAATTCTACCAACCAGTCTCGTGCCGAAGGTCACATGAGATGGCAAGTGAGCATGCGCTAGTCAGAGCACTCGCGACTCGCGCTAATGATCAGACGCATTTGAGCGAGCTCGTATTTGGATGAAAAGACCTGAGGTGTCTTTATATTTGATTCAAATACTCACGTATTTGAGGCGAGCCTGTTTATGACCCGAGGTGTCATAACAAAACTTTGAAGATTCGTGTGTACATTCAGAGAAGTATTTCGTTCGAAATCAGTTTCATGAACATGGCTGACGCCATGCTCTCGTCCCCACGTGGGAAGAAAAGCGCCAAATCTGACGAGAAATCGAAGAGTAAAGTTGACTCGCAAAAATCAACAAAATCTACGTCTATGTCTACCTCAAAACAATCTAAAGACGATTCACTCCCCGTGTCACTTGACACGACAATGATGGTCATGTTGTCGGAAATGAAGAAAATGAACTCTTGTTTGAGCCAGCTCAGCGGAAACATGGAAAATGATTTCACTAAACTGAGTGAGGGTCTTTATGACAACAACTGTCGTGACGAAGTTGAATATTATGAGGATGATGATGGTTACGGTCTAGATTCGGGACAATTACCTGTCAACTCTTCCACGCAAGACCCTGTTGCAGCTTTGCTTGACAAACACAATGACGATATTGATTCCGACAAAATGTGCAGTGAAAATAGTGATATCAATGGCATTGATCAGCTGACAGAAAGTCTGGGTTTAGCTGCAGAGAAAGGGGATAATATCCCAGAATACCTTGTTGGCATTGTGTCCTCTTTATTTGATCTGCAACCGAACAAGGAAGTCAAAAATGAATCTACTGTGAATGAGCGAATGAAAACTCACCTGAAGCCGGCGAATTGCCCGCAACTGCAAGTTCCTGAACTCAATAAACTGATATGGGACAATGTTTCGGGTCACGCACGTGCGGTTGACACAAAAATGCAGAAAATACAAAATGGTGTTGTCAAAAGTTCGACGGCTGCGGTCCGCGCGATGGAATTGCTGTTTACAAACAAATCAGAGCTTGCTAAAGCCCACTTCGAGAAGATGCTTACCTTACTCGGGGACGTGTTGAACATTATGGGATATACCAACTTACTACAGTTCAGAAACGCAAAGAGTTTTTGCGATTTGACATTGCGGCGGAATATAGAGCGCTTTGCTCGCCCGCATCATGCAGCACACCCGAACTACTGTTTGGTGACGAAGTTGTGAAAAATCTCAAAGATCTCGGTGTCGCACATCGTCTTGGTGCCAGAGGCGGAAGATTTCCGAGGAGACGTTGGACCTGTGGTTTCAATCGCAATCGACCCTATAACTTCGGTTTTCGGGGACGAGGTAGAGGTTTTGGACGGTCACAGAGCTATGATAGTTTCCCTCAGGACGCCTCCCAGACAAACTCTTTTTTAGAGAACGGACCGAACCAGTTCAATTCGTTCCGGTTCAAGAAACACTTTCAAAAAAGAGGGAGGGGGGAGTAGACGACCCCAGCGAGCTGGAGGATAGAGCCACTCAGGTAGGTGAGTGTACCTCGGATATGCCAGATATTGATCAGAATAACACAAATATGGCCGGTAGCTTGAAACATTGTACCCATGAATGGGCTAAACTGACAAGTGATAAGATAATTTTACAGTTTGTATCGGGAGTAAAACTGGAATTTATTGATAATGAATTACCCGTGCAAAAATCAGAACCAAAACCAATACAATTCAGTAAGAAAGAAAGAAAGTTTGTCTCCGAACAAATAAAACAATTTCTTGATCATAATGTTATTGAAAAAGTTCACAGTGAAACTGGGCAATTTGTTTCAAATATATTTCTGAGAGACAAGAGAGAGGTTCTTTTAGAATGATATTGAATCTTAAAGAATTGAACAAACATGTACAATACCATCGTTTCAAAATGGATTCACTGGAAACAGCCTTGTCACTTGTCACGAAAGAGACATACATGCTATCTGTTGATTTACAGTATGCATATTACTCTGTGAACATACACAACTAACACAGAAAATATTTGAGATTTCGATTCAATGAGAATTTGTATCAATTTACCTGTCTGCCAAATGGTCTGGCATCGGCCCCTCGTATCTTTACAAAACTGACAAAAGTAATTTATTCATCTCTGAAACAGAAAGGCATAAATTGCCTAGGTTATATAGATGACAGTTTGATTTCAGACGAAAATAAATCACTTTGTACAGAAAATGGATTCAGTGCCATCACATTGTTCACAAAACTTGGGTTCACAGTGAATGTTAACAAATCTCAACTTACACCCTGTCAATAGATCAAGTTTCTAGGATTTACCATTGACTCTGTCAGAATGAAGGTAATCATGGATGATGAGAAGGCAAGCACTTTGGTGTTTTTAGGACATAAGCTCCTACATGACAAGAAAAATTACAATTAGAGAATTGGCAGTCTTCATTGGAAAGGTGATATCTACGTTTCCTGCGGTCGAATATGGAAAATTAAATTACAGAGAACTTGAGAAAAATAAAGTAAGAGCTTTGCGACAGAATGATTGGAATTTTGATACATTGGTGACACTGTCAGTTGCTAGTAATAGTGGAGCGGCTAAGATCAATTTTACATAAGATTTGTGCATTTGATGATAAAAGCACCAAAATCGGTCATCATATAAAAGAACAT